AGACCAGAACAAACCCTCATTAGCTGCAGAAGAGATTCACAAGCAGCACAGGCTAGAACTTGCTGTGTAGCAGTTCTGCAGAAAAGGATCTGGGATCATGAATGTGACACTGTTGTGAAAAATAACAATTCAAATGTGTAAGTGGAAGTATTGGATATGTGAGAGACAAGCTCAGCAGTGGCTGGCCCTCAGTTGTTAACCTTTGTAAAGCACTTCACAAGTATGTACCATGTGTCATGTGCAACATACTTGTACACAGATTAGAACTTGTACATTGGGTTGTGGCAGAGCAGTGTGAAAGTGTGGTAACACCCTACTGCATATGTGCATTTTCACTTTCTGTGCAGATGAAGTCCAGTCTTCCAGTTCAGCTGTTCAGATCTTTAGTTTCTCCAACTATTGGTTTTTCATATAACAACTTGTGTTTCAAGTCAAGTATTGCTTTTTCAATTTTTCCACGTTGTGAAAGTGTTTAAGTCATTGTTTACGTTTTCCACCTTCTGTGCCGTCTTACCTGCTTACATATCTTTATTTACTCAATTTCTGTGACATATTCTAAGTATCATTTTCACATGAACATTTATTTCATATCTTAAGATATAAATTGATTGATGTTCCAGAAAATATAAGAAATTATAATCATCAGGAAAAAATACAAGTAATTTTTTATGCTGTGTGGTGCTTTTTAGCATGACACAAGTATATTCACAGTTAAAAATATTCTGCATCTGTGAATATAACTAAATTAATGCTTATATTGATTTTCCAAGGCAAGGTTTTGGTAGGGGGGAGCTACTGGAGGGACTTATGTGAAAAGACCCTGGAAGCTTCCCCCGTGTCAGATGGAGCCAATGCCAGTGGCTTCGAGATGGACATATTGCTGGCCAAGGCCAAGTCCATCAGTGATGATGGTAGTGCCTCTGGGATAACATAGTTAAGTAAGAAGGGGGAAAGTTACTGCGCAGGAGCAATTGTAGCTGGAGAGAGGAGTGAGAATCTCTTAGCAAAACAGCCTTGCAGACACCGAGGTCAGTGCAGAAGGAGGGCAGGAGGTACGCCAGGCACCGGAGCAGAGGTGCCCCTGCAGCCCATTGAGGTCCAACCCTAACCCATCTCCTGCACTGCTTGGGGGGAGCAGGTAGATAAATTGGAAGTGAAGGTGATCCCAGGAAGAAGGGAGAGGTGAGGGGAAGGTGTTTTTGAGGTTTGCTTTATTTCTCATTATCCTACTCTGATTGATTGGTTGTAATTTAAGATAATTTCTTGAACTCGACTCTTTTTTTCACCTGTGACAGTAGTTGGTGAGTGTTTTCGCTCTCTCCTTATCTTGAGCTTATATTTTCTCTCCCCTGTCCAGCTGAGGAGGGGAGTGGTAGAGTGGTTTTGGTGGGCACCTGGTGTCTAGCCAGGATCAGCCCCACCACAATGTTGTGTTTCCAAACTTAGAGGAAAAATGAATGGAACGTTTGACAGCAATATTTTAGCTTTAAAATGTGAAGTGGTTTGTTTTGTTCTTTTATTGTGAGTTTGTTTTGGTTTGGGTATTTTTAGTGTGAGACTAAAAATTGACAGTTTATATATAGTTTAACAAGAAAGTTAATACCAACTGGTAATGGAACCCGTGTAGCTGCCTGTGTGCAAAGTGCCTTCACAGCGGATGGGAAGTAAAATGCAAATATAGTATATTTACATCCCTTTAAATGCCTGCATATCATTTCTAAGCTGTGCAGGTTAGAGCGTTAAAAATACTGCAGTGTTATGCTGCAGAAGGCACCATAAGGTCTAGAATGTAACTTTACAAAAATGTCAGCACTGCGACATGCAGACTTTGACTGGGTGGAGATGTATGTGATTAGGACTGCAAGAAATACCATTGCTGTGGTGTGTTAACATGGCAGCTTGGCAGCTCAGTAAAGACACAACAGTGGCAGTCACAGCTGTGCAGTCCTGCTTTCCCATTGAGATCCAAGTGTCTGTGAGCATTGCCTAGTATCGAGGGGAACTCCTCTGGAGACACATGGGTGGAGTGGTTTCCTAGATGAGAGTTGGGTTAGCCACCTGAAATGAGATCCCTAACCCTATTCATAATATGTAAATAGATTTCTCCTTTTGTATATGCCAGTTTTCTCAAAAACATCCACATAGAAGATTTAACAACGTTTTGATTATATAACTGCATTTCCTCTCTGACCAGCTTAGTGAAATCTCTCTCCCCCAGGTCATACGTTTTGTTGTGTAGTAACAAATGGGTCTGTGCTCCTGGCTGGAAGGCCTCAAAATGTTCTTACTTTGCTGTTTATAGAATAGTACAACATTGGTATATATGTAAGAAATGTAAAGAAAAGATGGAGCACGGAGGTTTTGTCCCCTTTTTGTCATGGCATCAAAGATTAATCGGTTGGTAGTGTGAAAATGACATGACAGCATTATATCAACTGTGTTCTCTGTGTTGCCTCTGCTAGTGGATTTTTAGAACTGATTACAAATTTATTATCTCCATATGCATGTACTTAAAGAGTTAGTCCCTACAATTACATTTACGTCCTGGGCACTTGTTTATACAGATTAATTTACAAAATACTCGTCATTTCTCATAGGAGTTCTGCAGCTTGAGATATATAAGAAAACCCCAGCACCTATATGTTATGATTTTATTCTGATTTCATAATTTAATTTCCTATGAACTTTATTGTAGGACAAAGAGTGTATTTTTTTTTTCTCCTCAACTTTATCTTACTCATTTTCATACTTCCCAGATGCTATTATCAAACTGGGGGTTTTTATCCTTATTAGCAAAGGATCAAACCTACAATTTCTGCCTTTAGAACAACAATACCGTAAACCACATTATTTGGTCATTAGTAAGTTCTGCTTACTTGGAAAGAAGAATAAGCTTTCAAAGTACTGGAAGATGAAAGGCTAATTCACAGCTGGTAGGGCCCAAGAATGAGTCTTCAGTATATCTCATATATTACTATGTGAGTACTATGTGAGTGATGGCTTTCTCATAGTCATGTTTATAAAGCAGAAATGCTCCAAATTGTAAGGAGTTTCTTAAACTTTAATTATTGTGATGATATTTCATGTTTGTTTCATTTTAATAAATATGGCCTGATTCTGACATCATTGACTTGATGTTTACAATTAAGAACCTTTTATAATTCATTCTGATCTATACCAATATATTTAAAATCAGAATGAAACATGTAATATACGAAAGAATTCTATAGTTACACATTCTCAGTATTTAAGTCCTTCTAATAATACTGCTGTATGTATGACAGCAGTAGGACTTTTATGGTCTAAGCATAGTCCATATTTTTGAACACATGAATATATCTCAGTTGACTGCATATGTTTTTTATAATTTTTTGTCACTACTAGCGTTTTACTTAAGATATTTATGAGAAGGCCAAGCGAGTGCATCTTAGCTTCATTTTCAATTTTTTACTTTTGCTTTTCCAGAGATTCAAATCAGCCTGTCTTTCCTCAGTAATAAAACTGGCATTCCAGTCTGAACTTCTTCTCCAAAGCACAGTCAATAGTAATAGGATTTATTATTTTCGTTATAATAGTGCAGCTGTTGTACTTTATGGTGTATTGAATGATTTGGGATCTTAATCCAACAACAGTGTCCCTCTGAGTAGAGATACTTGGATGTTTTTTAACAGATCTGGGGGGGCAAAAATACTGATGTAATCAGAACTTTTTTATATAATTCTACTAATTTCAGTAAGATCTTAGATGGGATTGGTTGGGATTTTTGCTTAGGAAGAGAGAATTCCTCAACAGAAGTAGCAAGCAGCTTAGTGGTAAGGGTCTGCTTGTAATGGAGGAGAGCTGGGTTCCTGTCATCTTCTGCTTTTGCCAGAGGGACCAGAGCTGCTGCTGAGAAAGTCCCAGGTCTCCAGGCTGCTTGTTGGCTGCTTTGGGGGTTGTCTCTCTATTCACTCTGTACAGACCATATTATGGGCATGAAACCTAAAAAATCAAGTCCGTGCCCATGCTACTGCATAAAATGTATCATCCCGTTTGCTGCTGATGCCAAAAGGAGAAGTTCAAGACTTTCCCTGGAGGACTGAGAATGTCTGCCTCCTCTCTTATTTGTGTGGATTGCCTGGGATGCCTCCTGGCCTCTGAACTGCTCCCATGTGGTTTTTTCAACAGTTTTTTGTCAGTAGCCAAAGTTTTGCCGACGAGCATACTCTCAGTGAATAGTGTGAGGGAGCCGTGCCCTGACCCTCATTTGTTTACGAGTGTAGACTTAGCCAAAGAACAGGTATTGGTAATGAAGAGACTCATTTTGGGTAGTTGAAGAGAGATAATTAGTACCTGGCATGTTCCTGGTAAATGCTTTAGGCAGTGGGTTAAAGGCTAGTTTAGGAAATTGTAGTACCTGTGCTAATAGTTTATAGAAGTGTTGAAGTGCTCCGCCTGTTGACTGAAGAAGCAGTTATTTTTTAGAACGCTGCTTTGGTATTTTATTTGGTGTTTGGTTTTGCTCTTTTTTTTTTTTCCTCTTTTGTAGTGTGGTAACAGGCAGAAAACCCCAGGGATTTTCTCTTTTTGCCTCATTTGGTATTTTGTGTGCAATTTACTGAAAAAACTATGGCAAAAGATGGCTATGGCAGTTTGTTGTAATGACGTTCTTTCTTGAAGAAACTGGCAGGTGCTAATCTCATCAACAAAATAATTACATGGATTTTTATTCTAGAATAATAGTTCTTCCTCCTGTATTTCAGTCAGGGTCTGTCCATAGCTGAGCAACAGAACATTCATGGCATGTGGCTTCTGCTCTGGTGATGTTCTTGGGCTATGAGCTCTCTTTCTCAATGCTTCAGTTTGGAAATAATGTTTTCAGAGGCATTTACTTCCGTGGATAGTTTTGTGGCTCAGATCTAGGAGCAAAAAAGAAGTGTTGCTAATATCGCTGCCATTATTTGATAGTCAAAATTCAAAGTGCCCTGCTTATAATAATTTGTTTATTGCAGTGATAGGCAATGGCACAAGTTAAGATGCAGACTACAGCAAACCTGTCCGGACCCACCATGTCTCCTATGGTGCTACCCCTACCAGTTGCCACTACAAATACACTGGGTCTGCCATCCGCAATGAATGGATCCATTTCAGAATCAGCTGCCAGCTGTAGCAGTCCTACTGCTGGCCTTGTGGATCCTGCTCCTTCTAGCAACTCACCAGGTAAGTTGGTTCAGGTGTATTTTCTTGGTGTTCAAACAAATTTTTTTGATGTCTTATTGATTTGAAAAATAACTAAATAAATTAGGTCTTAAAGATTATTAAAATAAGAGAAAAAATCCTATAGAAAAATATTTTGGCTAAATAGATTGTTTATTAAGTTAAATTTCTTTAATTGAGCTCAGACTTACTGTGAAGTGTTGACCAATGACATAAAAGCTCAGAAAAAAACGAACGTCTATTTTGTCAAATTCTGAGCGTATCTTTTGTACAGAAGTTTTAGTGGTGCAGGAAGGTCTCCAAGTGTATTTCTCTTCCCTAGAACAGAATGTCTTCAGACTGCTTGGCAGTATTCAGTGTTTCTTTTGTAGCCTAATAAATACTGTAGTTCCTATGCTGAACTGGGTATAAAATGCAGAAATGTTATCCTAAAAAAATAAGCAAGAGACAGTGTGTGTTAGGGATGAGTTGAAAAGCAATAGAAAGTTAAAAAATAGTAAGGCAGTACACATGAAGTAAGTCATCTAAGAAAAGCAGAACAAAATCCTTAAAGGGGGAAAAAAGGTGGTTTTTGGGAGTGCTCTGAGAGTGACTTCATTATTGTGAGAAAAGTCTAAAACACCAGGAAGAAGCAGGGAGAAGCAGGTGGGGACCGCAGGGTTTCATCTGCTATATTTATCTTGCAACTCTTACTCTACTTCTGCTTCAAAGTGTCAAGAAACCATTCAGAAAGAGTAGTCAGTTCCTGGAACCAGTGTGCTCCTGACAGTAAACTTGGTGGCGTGGAAAATGTAGCATATGTATATGTCCTCCTACACTGTCATGCTTTATAGAGACATTTTGGAAAGAAATAGTTGTATTTTTAGTATTTTTTTTAATGGCATGTAATCAAAATGGTTATTGTAAAATACATATTCTCCTATGATTAATATGTAAATAGCATTTAAACATTGTATTTAGCATATTGCAGAATTATTTTTTAGCCAAAGTATTTTCTTTTCTAAGCCTGATTCTGCTTTTACAAAGCTTTACAAAGTTGTGAAGAACACATTTCTCCACAAAAACTTTACAGACTCTTTATTTGCAGCTCCTCTCCAAGATAACATGGCAAACCCCAAAGAGAAAACTCCAATGTGTCTGGTAAATGAGTTAGCCCGTTTCAATAGAATTCAACCCCAGTATAAGCTTCTGAATGAAAGAGGGCCTGCTCATTCCAAGGTAAGGTCACAGTTCCAGGTGATGAGCCATACCTTAAATGCTGAATAGATAATGTCATGGTCTGGACAACTGTGCTTGTCAAAGACAGCCATGCTGCTTGTCTGAGGGGTTTCTTACTGTTATTTATTTGCTTTCTTTTTGTTCTTTACTGATTTCAGAAAGTATGTCTGTATTTCTGTGGAAGTTCTGTACATCATTTTAAACGTAACTTTCACTTCCACCTTTGAGTTTATATTTGTTGGTCTCTGTAAAAGACCTTGTGAAGGTCTTTCCAGGGTAGGACTACGCTTTCTTAATCATTGTGGAGCATTTGCTTTTTAAGTTGCCTGAATCTTTCTCCCCAGTTGGTGTGCCTCTGGTATCAGGGTTTGTTTCATAGTAGTGCAGATGACAACAAAGCTAGTTTTGTGTCATTTCTTTTAAGCGCTTATTTTTATGATTCTGTATCCATAAAGTTGATTGCATTGATGCTGTATCATTGGATCTAGCATTATAGGGCACAGACGTTGTTACTATTCTTTCTGTTAAACTCTGTGCAACTTTAACATTTCCTGTGATATTAAGACTCCTGATACGATTATAGCATTAAAGTTTCTAGTGAACAGCTTTGGGCAGTTCTCATACGAGTTTGCATATCCAGCTTCGTTTTGGAAGTACAGATTAGGATGCTTTCAGGTGACGTGGAATACAAGGGGATAGTCTCATTATAATAATTTTCAGGCATAATTTTGAATTTCCTTCCTAGTTAAGAGCAGTCTGGAGGATTGCCTGAAAAGCCTGAAAAACTCAGAAACTGTGGTGTAATTAATAGCTGCTTGGAACTCAGTAGTGGCAGAGCTGTGTAAGGCAGTGGGGTCACACTGCCTATTTCAGTCACAACAGTTTCAGCTAGGTGTGGGCTGCCCCTCTGCCATTGCCCCTGGTTTCTCAGTTGCATGTTATATTGTCAGCTAGTGCAGAGTTGATGTGAATCACTGACCTTGTTTGACCTCATTCATGCATCCTTTATACTGGTAGAAAAGTCAGCAGGTGCAGGGCTAATGAGAGTCAGAAGGCTTTTAGGATTCCTCATTGCAAATGGAAATTAAAGTGCTTTTTAGTTTCCTGAAGGCATTTGGCACCACGGGATACACTGGTTGGTTGGTTTTAGGTTGTGGCATGTTAAATCTGTTGTGCTTTTCACTGTTGTGTTGTATATTTATTTTTTTACCTTTTATCCATTACTGTGAAATAAGAAGTACTTTCAGGATACCAAAAGGTGGCTGTTCATACTCCTTCAGCAGTAAAGAAATTTGAGTTACATTACATTCATGTTATACTTTACATTTTAGCAGGATAGGAAATAAAAAAAATCCCAAACGTATGCTCAGAACAATATTAAGGCTGATTTTGACCTGTGCAGCAAATGCAAAAAACAAAGGAGGGGAGGGGGTGGAAGAACAAGGGTGATATTGATAAGATTATGCAGACTTGTGTACCTTTGACTTACGAAAAGCAGAGACATAGAAATTATTATGACTGTGTTAGCAGTTTAGTATAATGTCTTGCTAGTAATAAGTTGATATACCTGATAGAATATGTGAAATGGAGCTGGGTTTATCCTAGAAAGCATGATCTGAAGGATGTAATGCTGCTGTGGCTGTTTGCCGTTGAAAGAACATCTCATCTTGCTTTCCTCTTACACATACTCTGTTCTTCACTAGTAGTTTTCATAATTTCCAGAGGCATGCTCTGTGAGACAGCTCACTGTATTGTGACCACAAATGCTAGTAAATTTTTGTATCCTTTTTTCTAGTTATCTCTGGAAAGTAAGTTCTGACACTTGGGGTGAAATGGGAAACTAGAAACAGTGGAGATAGAAGTGATGCTTCCTGACAGTGCAGTTAAAGTTTCTAAGAGTCTGCCCTCCAGGTGGATTCTTCATCATGAGAAAAATCTAGAAGTGTTTGTTAGCATAAACGAGAGTAAGCTCTGTGCCTTTGCATTTCCACGCTTTAGCCATCAGGTAAATTAGGGGGGAAGTAAGGAATACAAACTTCCTCAAAAAATTGGTGGGAAATACTTCTTAATTCGTAGCAGAATTGTCAGCTCCAGTATTGTAGAACTTGAGTACTTCATTGACTACTCCAGATTTTGGTTTAGGCAGTTCTATTCCTTTAATTAAATCCCACTTACTGCTGGGCGGGGCGGGTGTAGGAGTTTATCAGATGTGCTAAGTTGAGAAGGTTGGAGCTCTGGCCGTAGAAGTCAGCTGAGCAAATCCTTTATTGTATTGATTTTCTGCTTATTGCTCTAAGCATTAAGAAGAGAGTTATAGGTAGGTAAGTAGCCATTATTAATCATATTTTTATTTAAATTCAATATTATTCACCTCTTATAAAAATACTAGACTGATACTTTCTTGCAAAATAAAAAATATATAAACACCACGTCCAGAAATCAGATTTCAATTCTTCTAGTAATAAGGATGTATGTTTATAGATAATTTATGTAATTACAGGTATTTAGCTGTAATACCCAGCTTAGCTTTCAGGGGAGTGGAGTGGATAGCATTTGACAGAAGGCAAAATAAAGATACTCTTTCTTCCTTCTTGTTTCTGAGGAAATGTCATGACTGTTGTGGAAAAAAAGGACATGGCAATAGGAACTGTGATAGGGGGACTGGCACTGTGCTTCTGAAAATTACAGTAGGCCAAAGCTCAAGCCTGTAATTAAGACACAAGTATATATTTATAGCATTCAGTTCATATGCATGGTATGTACATGTATAGGGCTGAGTTGGGAGGTAGACACATACTTGTGTACAAATGCTTGTTTGCAAGTACATGCTAAATGAAAATATATGTAAAGGCAAATTTAAAGGTTGCCCATCTCTAGATACTTGGTCCTGGATCCAGCAAGTTTAAATAACTTAAAAAATTACAGAACAAACACCTATGAAAATAAAAATTGTATTTTATATACTCCTCACACTAACATGTAGATTTCTTTATGTTGGCTCAAGTGAGTTAACATGTTCTCTGAGGTAGGTATATCTTAGTTTACCATGTGTATCTGTCTTTTAAATCCTGCTTTATGTGTACGGAATTGATATGATAAAGACTTTGAGTTCTTACCCTTTCTCCTCTTATTCTTATATGCTCAAGTTGAACAGAACATGGACGTATCACACAGAAGATAAAAGAGTCTATCTAATGTTTTAAAATATGCATTGAGTTTCATCTTCATGATTTGCACAGCATAGATACTGCTTGAAATAATCCTTTATTCCAGATTTGAAATATGTTTTTTGATCAGTTAGTCCATTTCTGAACTCTGAAGTTTTACAGTTCCGTTCTTTGCTATAGAGTCCACATTAAAGAACTGCAGTTTTATTCAGAAAGATAATACTTCTTTTCTTTCTTACTTCATATTTTCGAACATATTTGGGTTGTGACTCTGCCCTAAAGTTATTTTCAGAAACCAGGTTGTGTGAGAAATTATTTCACTGGGTTCATGTGTTTGCGCCACATTCTCTGCTGCCTTGAAGAGGAGCAGTCATTTAAATCCATTCAGAATTATTAAAAAATTACTTTTTTTAGTAGCATTATTTACATTTTTCTACTAGTAGAGTGACTAAATTCATTCAAATGTGTGTAGAATCGTGGTCTTAACTGATCTGTATATAGTCTTTCAGGAGTAGATCATATGTTTTATGTTATTATTACTTGGTTTAAATATTATTCTGCTCTTTCATAGTTGACATTAACATTATGCTATTTTGCTTTGTCGTTTGAAAGGCTTAATGTTGCCCACTGCTAAGGACTCACTGATCTCTCTAAGAATCAGATAGTTTTCTGGGAATTGAACATAATGAAAAGAGAGCACAGTTTCTCTTCAGCTCTGAAAGCTTTTATACAGATTGGTCTAGTCCATAGTGATAATCTTGCCAGTGTTTACCTTTTCTTTGTCTTTGAAGATGTTCACAGTGCAGCTGACTCTCGGAGAACAGACATGGGAAGCTGAAGGAAGCAGTATTAAAAAGGCCCAACATGCTGCTGCTAGCAAAGCACTGAATGAAACTACCCTTCCCAAACCAACACCTAGACCACCCAAAAATAATGTTAACAATAATCCAGGTATGTCATTTTCCTCTCTGTGTAAATACTGTTGAAGTGTTGGAATATTATACTACCAATAAATAAATTTAATAAGATATAAGTTGAGTTGGAGGATGAGAATCAACATAGCTGACTTACAGGTATGATAGTGTAATGAAGAACTTCTAGGGAATTTGCACAGGAGAATTTTTAATGTACATAATAGTTGAACTGTATGTGAATATGTTATTTAGATTAGGATTGGATTTGTACAAGGTTGAGAGAGGTCCTCCTTCCCCTCTACTCTGCCCTGGTGAGACCGCATCTGGAATATTGTGTCCAGTTCTGGGCGCCTCAGTTCAAGAAGGACAGGGACCTGCTGGGGAGAGTCCAGCGCAAGGCAACGAAGATGATTAAGGGAGTGGAGCATCTCCCTTATGAGGAAAGACTGAGGGAGCTGGGTCTCTATAATTTAGAGAAGAGGAGACTGCGGGGTGACCTTATTAGTGTGTATAAATATATAAAGGGGGAGTGTCACGAGGATGGAGCCAGGCTCTACTCAGTGGCAAACAATGATAGGACAAGGGGTAATGGGTACAAACTGGAACACAAGAGGTTCCACTTAAACTTGAGAAGAAACTTCTTCTCAGTGAGGGTGACGGAACACTGGAACAGGCTGCCCAGGGAGGTTGTGGAGTCTCCTTTCCTGGAGACATTCAAAACCCACCTGGACACATTCCTGTGTAACATTATCTAGGTGTTCCTGCTACAGCAGGGGGATTGGACTAGACGATCTTTTGAGGTCCCTTCCAATCTCTAGCATACTGTGATACTGTGAGGTACAAAGTGATTGTAGATGACTGACATACAGGACAAAATAGTGTAAAGTGATAGGACTTTTAAATGAGTTCTCTTAAAGCCTACTTCTTTTGTTATCAGCTTTTCCCTTTAAGAATATGCTCAAAGCCAAAAAAAATCTAGAAGCTTGTGTAATACTCTGCAATGTCAAGAATCAAACCCAGGATTCCTTTTTATAGTCACAGCTTTTTAAAGTCACAGTGATTTTGAAGGACACAGGGCAAAAACATTGTCCTGGGCCTGGAGAAGCCATTTATTGGTCTCTAAAGTAGCAAGAGAGTGCTATCACACCACTTCAAAAGAATCCTTAATGGCTAATGCCCAGGATACAACTCCCAAGCTATTTTTGTATTCTGTGACCAGTAGATGGCTGTAGTGACACTGATTTCCAGTATTGTTTTTCAGTTTGTTAGATCATTACTGTTAGCTCATTAGCTTTTAGTTATAGTCTTAAATTTTCAAGTCTTGCAAATAAAACATTTTTTCTAACCTGTAAGATTACCAAATGACTGCAGTAATGCCTGTTGCTGTTTGTTTGTTTCAATGCCTCATTGCTCTCTTTGTGGTTTTATTTAATGGTATTCAGTGGGAAGAGACATTATTTTTTTTATAGTTTAAGGAAGTGTCATATTATGAGCACTTTGGAAAGATGAATAACCAGCTTGATTATAGCACTGACTTTCTCATTCATATATGAAGATTAATCTGAAACTGCATAGAGAATGCACTGAGATAAATGTTTTAAATGTTCTTTTTTATTGCTTGTGGTTAGGTTAGCATCTATATTCCAATCTTTTAGAGAAGCTGAAATGTCATGGTAGTTGCATCTTTTTCAATTTAAGAGCAGAAGAATATCATGCAGCTGCCTTTTTGCTGCTCATCCCAGTTTTGCTTGTGTCTCTTGCAATATTTGTGGTTTAAGTGCCTTACATGTATTCTTTGGGGGTTTTTTGCAGGCAGTATAACTCCAACCGTGGAGCTGAATGGTCTGGCTATGAAAAGAGGAGAGCCTGCCATCTACAGGCCATTAGATCCAAAGCCAATTCCCAACTATAGAGCAAATTACAATTTCCGGGGCATGTACAATCAGAGGTTTGTACTTTTCCTATTATTTCATTGTTTTTATTCATTGCTTATAAATCTGCTCTAAATCTTTGTGAAGTTCCTAAGTTATTTCAGAGTAAAATGAAACTCAGATTTCTATGAAGAAGAGTCTCTGCAGTGTTATTTTGAAACATGCATAATCCCTTCTAAAAGAAGAGAGGTGCCCTAAGCATGTCACAAGGAATAAAGACATGTAAAGCAATTGTTCCTGTTTTTTAATGTGCATACTGGAGTTACAGTCTACAGCTGTAGCAATGAGGACGCAGAACATTAGAGAGAGGTTTTGCTTTTCTTGCTGTAGTGAAACGTAATTAGAATCTGTATCATTAAAAGTGAAGTGCTCTTTTCTTAGAAATTGGATATAAAATTAGGAGGGATGCATTTTGAAAATTAACTTGAAACCATTCTCAGGTTTCTATTTTTAAACCAGTTTGATTGTCCAGCTATCTCGGTTCCTTAATCCCCAGTGTTTAGTGAGGAAAAATCCTTCATTTCACAGGTTAGAAATCTATATTCAGAGCCCTCCCTCAATGCAGTAATTACTGTAGTAAGTTGAGTAATTGTTAAGAAGATGGTATTTAAAATTATGTTTATAAAATATCAAATTCTTAAAGATTAAAAAATTTGAAACTCTTAGTGGGTGGAGCAGTTTTTTAACTGGCTATTCAAATATTTTGTTCTTCAGCATGTTCTGAATTTTTGAAGCATCTTTGTCTTCACTATTTGTACAGTTTAATACAGACAGAAAAAAAGTGGAGTGGGGCAGAAGGCCAGAATCTGAACTTGCCTGCTTCATTGTGCTTGTTTGAGTGCAGTTGCACCATGTAGGATGACTAAAAATACTGTAGCTAGCAAATTGATGAAAACTAAGTAGTAAAAAAAATAGATATGCATGTCTACCTGTATAAACACATACATAAACCCCTGTGCATATACCAGCTTACACATGTGTACCACAGTAAAGATGAAACAGAACAACAATGCCATGTAATACTGTTTTGGGGTTTTGGGCCTACTCCTGTTCTGGACATAATTGTTCATTTCCTTGTTTTTGATGTGGAGGTGCTGGGTCCACTATGATCCCAGTAAGAAAGACACTTAGTCCCTGTAAGGCATCATTAAGAAGATGTATAAGAAATATACAGTATAAGTTGTATGTATAAGCTGCCATTGTAAGAAGAGAACAGCAAAGATAATCTTCCACCCCTTCAGATGCTGAGAGCCCTGAGTGGTGTAGCATTGAACAAGACTGAGACCCACATAGAATGTCCCATGCAGACCTTGGCCTCAGCAGAGATTCTCCCCTTCTTGATCATTCACACAGGATTTTCTTACAAGGAGACAACCCTGTAATTTCTATAGGCAAACCAGGAATGGTGTTCACATGAGAACTTCTTGCTGTACTGTTAGATAAAGTCAAGGCCACGCAGGTGGTACCGAGGGGGAGCTGCCCGCAGGCCCCTCTCTTGCAGCAAGTCTGTCCTGTGGCTGAGTGATTTGTGCATCAGTCTCATCCTATGCCCCATGCTGGGCATGGGTCCTGCAGCACAGCGCAGCCCACTCAGGGTCAGGCTAGCTGCAGCGTGGGACGCTGGATCCTGCTCATCTGCCAGTCAGAATTGCTGCATTACTAACAGAGATTATAATAAAGGAAAAAACCCTCTGTTTTGCCACTCAAAATTTACCAGTCTTATACTGGTTTATACCAGTTTAAAGTCTCCTAAGTTGGAGTTTTGAGCAATTTTGCAACAAAGGCACATCAGGAGCTTTCAGTTCAAACAATATACATTACAGAAAAGCTAAAAATGGTTAACATTGCATTTTGTATGGCTTCTTTTATCTAAGAGCTTTACAAAGCAACTGTGGGAAAGGAGGTGCTGATGCTTTCAGGGTCTGTTTACTAGCTGATTAGGTTTCATGTTTGTCAGCACAGCATTTGGCACAGTTCAGTAGAACTGGTGCTCTACTCAGAAGAGGCCAAGGCTGGAAACAGCAGCTCAGGTTTGAGAAATATTGGCGGAGCTGAGGATGAAGTGTGCATACTACTCATCTCTGTAGCCAATGCTAGAACCTGTATTCCCTCACATCCCTGAGTATGCAGTTGGCTTGTTCATGGTTGTTCAAATTAGAGCAATTAATAAAATAAGATGTTGATTCTGACTACAGGGTCATCCAGTTTGCCTTGTCACCATTGAATGCTCGTTTGTTTTATTTTAAGCTATTTTTTCTTCAATTAGAATTAAAGAGAGTCATTCCTGAAGTTAAATTGTCCTGCAGTATTTTCAATTATAGAATGTCTGTAAGTGACAAAACAGAAATTACATCCTGTAGATTTACCTAAAGTAAGTGTTTTAAGCCAAGAATAAAACCAGTAGAAACTAAATAGCAGCTTTTGGTGTTTTAATATGGAAAATAGTGTTAAAGACATCACAAAATTCAACCCTTTGTTTCTTTGAGAATTCAGAAGCTATTTGCTTCTGATACAAAATTCCTCAAAATGTGTCTCACTGCAATCGAGAAAGCTTGAAAAACCTTCACAAAAATAAAAAAAAGGCTTTCAAAATTAAAACCGCTTGTGAAGTATAGGAACAAAGAAAATGCAAAACAATGACAAGCTAAACAACAGACATAAAGTAATTAAAGCAGTTTATTGCTTGGTTTTGAGGAATTTGGGTAGTGTGATAGTTCTTTAAGCAATGTCACACAAAGTGGTGGGGTCCCTGGAATAAACTACAGCTTCTGTGCATTTTGGCAGCTTCTGCTGCACTCAGCCTTTCATGTATGTGGTTGCTTGTGCCTGCATGTATATTGAATAACTGCAGGCTAAGACTGTCACCTTTCCCCTTAGTGCATGGGTGAGAGTGCACAGATCATTCCTCCTTTTCTTTTTCTTCATAGCCCTGCCATTTTAAGTACATATTTTTTCGATGTTAGCTTATTTCCAGTGCTGTTTGCAAGGCCAAACTTGGAGAAATAGAGAACAGCACATCCTTGCCTCTGCTGGAGCCATCCAAGCTGCCTGGCCAAGAAGCACAGGGTGACACCGTTCGTGGACATGTAGTTCCCACCTGCTGGGCAGGCAGCTCGCCTTCTGGGTACTGAGTTGATGCATGGAACTGTTTGCTTAGGCTTAGTTGCTCCTGAAATTATGTATATCAAGCCCTGTGGACCAGTACCCTGAATACTGACTCACCACATTAAAAATGAGATATAGTAAAAGGAAGTTTAAGGACTGGTCTTTGACCAGCTACATCTGCAACTGCTGTCTTCATAGTGGATCAATATGTTGCCCACATTAATGATCAAAAAGGGAATAGACTGTGTGATTATGGTATAAATTACTGAATTTATCATATCAGATTAATAAAAGATTTTATGGTGAAAGAACAGAATAAAATGAAAACTTTGTTTCTTCTGTGAATGCTGAGTTAAAGATTAAATATATGTATCAAAGGGAACAAATTTGAGGCTAGTGTTACTTGACATGAGTGCGTAGCAATGCAATCTAAATCCTCACGCAGCTTCATTTGTTTCACAGAAATTACATAGTCCCATGGGGAAGGAAGGAAAATCTAGCCAGAAGAACAGTTGCTAGAAGCCAGCTTTTGAAGCGAGTGGGTTGCACTGAGGGAGACAATGTAAAATCTGTTGAGTCTGTCTCCAGAAATACACCTACAATTATACAACCCAGTTATCTAATTTACAGAAAGAGAATGAAGTCTGAAATTCTCCTGGCCTTTAGAAGTCCTTCTGCACTGCCTGAGCACCCTGTTTACCTTCTAGGAGGAGACTTCTTTCTGCATGGAGAGCCTCATCCATCTGAGGCACAAGTAGTCCAATGCATAATGTAACGTGTTGTTGGATGTGAAAGACTTTGATCTAGTATTGATTAGATCATCCAGTAGCCTGGACAAGGTAAAGTCCATATTATTCCATGAAGCTCTTTCATGACTTTAGGCACATGATTAGCGTATTGTCTGTTGCAGAATTCCAGTCTGGGGCTTTCTGCTGAGGCTTTCTGCAACAGAGCAGGATTTTATGTGCGGCTGTGTACAAAGCAGATTTTTTTTCCCAAGTATATGTACTGTGGGAGATGTGAGGACACTAAGTTGCCTAAATATGGGCCTCTAGTGCCCCTTGAGACATTGTAGGGTGTTTGAGACATCAGTATGGCAACAGACTTAGAGGAGACCTTTGCTAGAGTGGCAGCCAAAGGCCAGGCAAGATACCCTAGAGCATTTCAAATGGCCCATGTAGCTAAGTTTAAACAATTGAAGGAATCTCTAAAAGTAGCGTTCAGCCATCATACCATTTCATGTAATCCACCAGGACTCCAACTATTCATGAGAAACTTCTGCTTTTCATGAATCAGTCCTGTGTCATATAATGCGGATGTCCTAGGTACATGACTACATCTCAACTGGTACTGTGTGCTTGTGGTTGGGCAAATAGGTGCTGTTCAACTGTGCTGTTGGGATTTGAATCCAAGCTCACATGCCTCTCACATAGTCTCTGCCTGGTCACAAGAAACCCAGTTTCCCATTCTAACCAGTAGAAGGTCTAGCAGAGCAGTTGCATGTCTAGAATGCTCTTTGTCATGCCACAAACAAGGATGTCTAACTTCTGTATGGAACTCTCCAGAGCTTCACTATAATAGCAACTTCGCTTCTATACATTAACGAAATACCTTCAGGCATCTGATCTTGAGCTGAGTCATACTCGAGAAATAACCCTAAGGATGTTGATTTGTAATAATGTGATGAATGCTATAGTGGGAGTCATCTGACTATTGCAGTGGAAGGACTGGAAAAAGATAAAAATCTCTTCCCAGGGAGGAGGCAGTGAAAAGCTTCAGAACAACAAATTCTTTAGGGGCATATCTGGGTAATAATAGTACTAAGGAGAGGCAGGCATGCAATAGTGAAATGCTTTTGGTTGAACAAAATAGTGTTTTGCTTAAAAAGCTGTTAGGCTGTGGACACCAGTGC